TGATGGTGGTGATGGTGATGGTGGTGATGTGGTGATGATGGTGATGTTGTTGGTGGTGATGGTGGTGATGGTGGTGGTGGTGATGATGGTGGTGATGGTGATGGTGGTGATGTGGTGATGATGGTGATGTTGTTGGTGGTGATGGTGGTGGTGGTGGTGATGATGGTAGTAGTGGTGATGATGATTATGGTGGTGGTGATGGTGGTGGTGGTGGCAATGTCAAGGGTGATGTCATTGTCGTGATAAGTACAGAGCTAAAATGTTGCTGGGAGACAGAAAGGAGGGTCATACACCAGAACTGTGCCTGAGGGGTGAGTCGTCCTGTGTGACAGCTGCACGTCAGCAGTTGACARTTGGGTACCCAGATGGCAGGGGGCAGAGTGAGATGTGGCTGGTACCTGCCTCCAAACCCCAGGAGCCCAGAGCCCTGGGGACAGAGTAGCTCACAAGTCCCCTCGTGCCCCTGCGGCCTGCTGGGGTCCCTGCCTTACCTGAATGAGGAGGTTAGTAGTAACTCAATAGTGAAGTGCACCAAGAGCCGACTTCTGCCTTTCTCTCTCAGCCAGGCCCTCACTTTCTGCAGGAACAAGGGTACCCCAGCCCGAGTTCCATCACCTCTCCCAAGGGTGCAGGGCTGGGCCTTGCTGGTGTGTGTTAGGAAGAACTATTTGGTGGAGAATGATAAAAACCCAGTTCAAACTTACTTTTGGGTAAAGGAAGTTATTAAACCAGGTAACTAAAACACTAGTCTGACTTCAGGTATGGCTGAATCAAGCCGTTGAGAGCACACCCTCCACCTCATTGGTTTTGTTTTCTTCTGTGTTTGTCTAATTTTCTGGCTCCAGGTAGTGACTACTGGCAGCTAAATAAGTCACCTTATTTCACAGATAAGGAAACGGAGACTCAGAGAGATGAAGTGATTTGATYGAGTTCACTCAGCTGAGCCAGGACCCGGGCCCAGGGTGTTCACAGAAGCCAAACTCATCCTTCCCATTAGTGAAGCCTCTTTGAGCCCCAGCCCTGCCTKCCTCCACATGCTGTGTGATTTTAAGGCAGCCGCTGTGCTTCTCTGAGCTTTATTTTCTCTYTCTAATAAACAAGGGAGTTGGAGGGGGTGGTCTGCAAAGCCCTCCCTGTTCTAAGAGTCTGTGCTTCTGGAACAGTCCTTGTGGAGGAAAGGATGCGGCCAGAGAGCTTGAAAGACAGAAAGACGGAGGGGCACAGAGGCAGGCAGGGAGATGYGGAGGAGGCCACGGGGTGCCTCTGCTTTTCCTTCCGCCCAGCGCCTCATGGCAGCCTTGACCTTCTGTCCTCTTCCCCCGCCTTCAGCAGCCAATTTGGACTCCAGCCCCTGCTGCGAGGAGCCGGCGAGAGGCCACTAGTGTTTTAGTAGCTGCCAAATTGGTCCTGACGGCTCCTGTAATTAGGTGAAGGGGAGTGTCGTGCGCACGGCTTCTCTCTGCTTCCCTCCAAAGAAATAAAGTGACCAGACAGAGGATGAGGAGGCCCAGCCCTGCCTCCCGGGCGGGCGGGCAGAGGCAGGGGCCTCTAGTGCACTCCGGGTCTGAGAGTGGAGGCCCGGCCTCTGCTCGGGGCCACAGGGAAGTTCTCCCAGGCCCTGCAGGCGCCACGTCTGAGCCAGTGGGAAGGCCCCCTTCCGGGGGTTGGAAAGGGAAGATTCRCGCGCTGGGCACCACACGGCCTCCCCGGGGACACGTCCTGCCGGGCTCCGGGGAATCTCTCCACCTCYGTCAGGGCCCCGCGTTCATCCCTGGAACACGGCGTGGGTGGCGGGGCTGCGTGGGACCCAGACAGCAACCCCGACGGGGGTTGGCCCCCCGAGGCCACCGAGCTGGGCGCTTGTGGGTGCCCTCCCTCACTCCAGCCTCCGCGGGCAGCTGTGGCTCCGTTTYGGAAAGGACAGGGCTGTGGGGACCACAGCTCTACCTGCTCAGGTCCTGTGGCCGGTGAGTGGCAGGCGGGGACCGA